AAAGCTCCCCGAGTTTAAAACTTTTGTCAGAGACGAAAAATAAAGGTAGGTGACCTAAGACGACTGTGAGGTTGCATAGGTCAAAATTTAGCAAGAACAATATTCATAATTTTAACGGATTTGTTTATTTATTTTCGCTTCTAGAAAAAAACAAAATGTAGTTATAATATACTACCTCCTGTTCATTATAAATGTCGTTTTGACTTTTGTGATTCATCCATTTTGTTATGTATCTAATGTCTAGATACATAACAAAATAGATGAATCAAAAAAATCAAAATGACATTTATAATGAATAGGAGGGAGTAGTAGTTAGTATATTATTCTTTTGCTAGATAAATATTTTTTTCTCCTTCTATTTTTTTTTTCCAAACGATGGACACATTCTCATTATGGAAAAAACAAGTTCATACAACACAAGCCGGATAATGAGAGAACCACACCAAAGTGGTCTAGATCACAAACAACCAAACACTATCTCTAAGGGCAGTGACGGATTTAGAAATTATACTAAGGGGGGCCGGATTAATGTTACTTAACGAGCTTATAGTTTAAGTCGAAACACTCATTCTATATAAAAATATATTTAATATAAATATAAATATAGATATGTGTACCATCAAGTTTTTATAAACTTATAAACCGTATCACCCTCTAGCTTTTAAAAAAATAAACAAAACAAAATAAATAATTAAAAATTGAGATTTTATGTATTTATAATTTAAGTTCAACATTTATAATTTATGGAAAAATAAGGTTTTTAGTTGAAAATTTGATTTAAATTGAACTGTTGCACCACATTGCATAGTATTTTAATTGATGTGAGTTTATCAAATGAACAATTTTTTTAATAAAAATAAAAGATAAAGTTAATAATATGTGATTACACAAACACGAGTAAAAAATCAACATTAAAAATGTAACAATCCAACTAAAATCGATTTTATAAATCACTAAATATATTTAAAATTAAGCGACCGAAAAAGTAAATGATTATAAATATTTTTAAAAGTTTATCTAGAAATTTAAATATAAATACTTTTAGTACATTTTTAGATAAATAAATAATATTATTAGTTTAAATAAAAATAGCAGGAAATAAGTGTATTTTATTTCTTATGTTATCTAATAAATAATATTATTAGGTAAATTTAAATCTTTTTTTGCATTTTTATACATATTTTATTGTATTTTATTTTTATATATATTGATTTTTAATAAATGTAATTATTAATAAATTGTAAATATTTACTTTATTTCATATACTATGTTAACATATTTTATACTATTTTAATATTATATATATAAATATTAAATTTTTCAAAAAAATCAGGGGGGCCCACGGGCCCCCCTGGGCCCAATGTGGATCCGTCTTTGTCTAAGGGTATAGCGCCTACTCCCAAAACGTACCTATACCCTTAGTAACATAACATAACTCTAACCTCCAAACATCCAAACATTTAGAACCAGCCCAACTACTAACATAAAATCAACACTTAGAACTAAAGCAACAAAAAGACCTATGATTTATTATTCTTGATGAAAGCTTTCCAATCATGCTGTGCTGCTTTAACCACACTGTGTGCAAGTCTCCATTCTCCTTCTGAAATCTATAGATTCCAAGTCTTCCAAAGTCACCATAAGATGTATGTTGAGAATTGGATATGTGCTTCGGAAGTTTCCCCCTTATCCATTGTGCAAATCTGTCTCCACCATACTTGGAAAGAGTCTGAGTCTTGAGGTCCAATCCAATTAACTGGTGCTAGCTTCCAAACAGTTTCTGTAAATCTGCATTTAAACATGATATGAACAATAGTTTCATTCTCCTCTCCCCACATCTTGCATATCTGATCCACATGTATGCCTTTAACCCTCAAATTAGTGTTCACTGGTAAAGTTTCATTGCAACACTTCCAAATAAAGTGTTTAATCTTGCCCATCACCTTAAGTTTCCATGTTCTAGCTCTACACTTCATGTCAGCCTCCATATCTTTGCTAGTTTGAGCAGTCATTTGTCTGAGGAATTTACCAGTAATCAGTTTGGATTCTTGCAGGTGCGGAGGCCGGTCGAGTTGAAGGAGCCCAGGTGAAATATATTTCACTTCAGGGACGAACAAGATTTTAAATTTGGGGGAGTTGACATTCATCATATTTTCATGCATTATGAGTGATATATTGTGATATTTAGTCGTGTTTATGGTGGGATTGTGCACCATTTTGTTTTATTTATTAATATATGATAGATGTACATTTATTGTTGGTTTTGCAGGAAATATGCCAGGAATAGCGTTGAAATGGAATTAGGCTGAAAATGGCAAAAACGAGGTGCAGATGAAGACACACGACTCGTGTGGGCAGTGACACGAGTGTGTGGCAGGGAATAAACGAGTGTTTGTCCCATTTTTGTTGCATTTTTCGTTATTGTTCTCTTATTCTTTTTCCCCCGTTTTTGATATTTTCGTTTGTTTTTATTTGTTTTTAAATTTTATTGTGCGTTTTGTTCTTTTTTTTTTCTATGTGTTTTCCGTATATTTTTCCGGTTTTTTCTTTGTTT